GTGTAATATGTTGTTCAACATACTAAGTCATTTAGGATTTTTCTAGCTGTACCTAGATTGTGCTTATTTTTCATCTTTAACAATCTACAGTTACTTTAATATATGTCTAACGTTACTGATATGTCTGATTTTTCTTTCAATAAAATGTTTAGGGAAAGAGTGTCCTACCCACATATGGAAGGAAAGACATGCATTCTCTGTGTCTCCATATGGCCTATGAATATTCATGGTTATGACAGGAAGTCTGGTGAAGACCACTGCCTTCCTAATAAAACAGAACACAATAAAATAACAGCAATAACAGCAAGACAGAGTTCCAATTCTGATCCTGTTACTTTTACTAGTTACATAATGCAAGGCGAATCTTTTAACTCCTTTATTTGTAAAAACTGAAAAAATAGATAAGCTCTGGAAGTTTATGATATGCTGATATCTGAGAATACTGTTTGCTGTATCATGATATAATGTCTTCCTCAAATATATAAATCCTCAAACAAATAAATCTCTTAAGGCAAAGTACTTCAGAATGCTAAGAACAGGCCAAAAGTGTGCCTATGAAAATCTTAATTGATGAAATCATATGTATTGTTTAAACTGATCTTTTTCTTCTAAAATCATGACTTCTCTGAACTCCATTGCTAACTTTCTTATTCTACCATGTATTGCTATATTAGCTTCTGGCAGATATGAATCATAAAATATAGTAATGGGGGCTTATATGTCTTTGGATTGCTCATACCACTGAGTAAAGGGATAAAAATATATTTAACTTTCATTCACTAATGGTGATTTCATCACTGGTAACACTGAACTTAAAATTGGTGCATTAATTTGGGCAAGAAAAGAATTTATTTTGTGTGTAGCATCTGTTCAAGTCCATCTAAACCACCAAATATGATGACAGGGCAATTAAATGACCAGAGATTTTATACTAAATAAGTAAGTCAAAATATCTTACTTACCCCCAGATAACTAATTTTCTAGCTGATGGAATCTAAGATATGTAGGAGGCAATAACTATTTGTGGACGGTCAGGTCTTCTGTTTTCTGTGTCTTAAAATCATGGGGCAAAAAGTACTCTATTTAAAAAGTATATAATTTTAAGTTAATTTTTATTGGAAATATATGAATGTGTGTTGTGTGTGTGCAATTTGTTGTCTTGAATTGTTTCTATCCTTCGTTCACTAATCTGCTGAAAGACATTTACTAACAGAATACTTGTCTATTTGATTATACTTTCAGCTAGAAAAGAATTCTACATCTGGCCATCTTCTCTACATTATATATACATAAGAATAAATGTATATATAATCAACATAAATTTAGCTTTTAAAATCTAGCTGGTTCTGTAAAACAGATACTGGTGTATATTCCATATAATAAGGAAAGTTGTTAAACAATACAGTTTTAATAATATAACTCATTATAATTTAAGAATAAACTGATATATCCAAGTTTTAATTTGAGACATTGTCATGGTTATAAAATTTAGGGAATGTTTGGGCAAGTATCTGTTTCAGGATGTATGGAATTAAAAATGCAAACAGGAATTTTGTATTTTTAGTCACTTATGTATTCCTATCAATGAGATCATTCTTGATTATGGGTGCCCAGATAGATAAGATCATTCCTCCTGAGACAGACTTGCAATTGTCTCCCTTCCTATCAAGAACAAGCTTTTATAATACTCCATCTTCTCAAAAAGAAAACTGTAGCCATTTATGTCTGTTTCACAAAAGTGTTCATTGAAAAGAATAGAGAGGAATCCTTAAATTCATCATAGAAACATTCTTAATTACTGGGAGATCTAAACCTCTCTTCCCAAATAACATTTTATGCACATGGATAATTTTCTTTTCATGTAGAGAATAGTCTTCTTCTATATGGTCAATGTGGTGAACTTTCTTTAGATATTTTTATGTTTGTGTTTGTTTATATTTTTAAAAAATGTTTATTGTCAAACAATTCTGGAAGCTAGTAGTATCCATCTTCTTTTAGAAATACTTATTTTTAAGAAATACTTTGATTATACATTAGTTATCATAGAAAAATAAAATACAAAATAGGGTCACCCGGGTTGCTCAGTGGGTTAAAGCCTCTGCCTTCGGCTCAGGTCATGATCCCAAGGTCTTGGGATCAAGCTCTGCTTCCCCTGCTCTCTGTCTGCCTGCCTCTCTGCCTACTTGTGATCTCTGTCTGTCAATAAATAAGAAATCTTAAAAAACAAACAAACAAACAAACAAACAAAATAACAAAATAACTTAGGAAAGAAAAAAGTACAAAATAAATTACATGTATATTAAGACTCTATCTCATTTTATTATATTTTTTAAAGTTGAATTCTGATGACAAGGGGATACTCATATCACATTTTTCCAATCCCAGATCAAAGCCTAAGCCCTTTAAATTGGGTGAAAGCATCAAGGCAGCTCAAAGGCCATTTAGCTGCTACTTCAGTTTGCTTATTATTAGAGCAGCAAAGGCAGGCTTTCTTTCTTCATTGTATAAGAGATTTATTCAAGAAGAAGAACGAGCATCATTGATACAATCCTTTCTTATATGTATTGTAAAATTCCCATCCTAGTATGGAGATCAATGGATGATTATCTGAAGAACATGTTCATATATCTATCAGTAAGTCTTTTCATGCTAATTTAGTGACAAATGATTTGTTAAGTAAGGATGAATACAATCTATGTATAACAGAATTAAAAACTCTTGATCTGCATGCACCTGGGTGGCACAGTCGGTTCAGTGTCTGGCTCTTGGTTTTGGCTCAGGTCATGATCTCAAGATTGTGATCTCAGGGTCCTGAGATCAAGCCCTACATCAGACTTTGGACTTAGCATGGAGTCTTCTTCAGATTCTCGCTCCTGCTTCCTCTGCCCATCCTACTTATGTGCTTGCTCTCTCTCCCTCTCTTTCTCTCTCAAATAAATAAATCTGTAAATTAATAAGTAAATAAATAAGCAAATAAATAAGTCTTGATCTGGTATGGTTAAACACTAATATTGCTATACTACAAAAATTTAGGATTCAGACATGAATCAGAACTTGCACTGATATGTAATAAGCAAAATATAAATCAAGAAAAAACTTGATTGATAATTACAAATTTGTTTGTTTGTTTGTTAGAATGCCTAAGTACACCGGAATAAGGCTGGGGATAGTGAAGTCAGACTTGGGACTCTGAGTCTAACAATTAGTTGAAGAAAGAAACTGCATTGGCCACTTAAGTAAAGAATCTAACAGAGACTATAGTAAAAATTTGCTGTTAGTGAGAGAGAGAAGAAATAGGAAATGCAGGTAAAATGATCAAAGTTCTGAGTGATTATCACAGGTCGCAAGACCCATTAAGAATTAAAGTCCATCACTAGCTTTTTCAACTCTCAACTACTTCTAATAGGGAAGCAAATCTCATAAGAGAGATCCCATCATGAATGAAACATTTAAGCCTTTAAAATTTGTTACCCTTTGGAAACCATAATAATTTCTACATCATTATAAATTGTATTTGGACTCCCATAGAATTTTAGTTTTGCAGTTATATTTAATTTGAAGGATATATTTACATGACTTTGTAAATGACTCTCTCCCATCTTGAGATAAGTTGAAGAATGAATACTATTACTTTAGGCGATTAACCATGAATAAAGATTTAAAAAAAAAAAATTCCTCCACGCAAAAGAGAACATTCCTGAGGACATGTCTCTGTCTGAATTCATGGACCCATTCCAAGTGTCCTCCAGGCATGGGAATTTCTTTTTTTTTTTTTTAATTTTTTTTTTTTTTAAAGATTTTATTTATTTATTTGTCAGAGAGAGAGAGAGGGAGAGAGAGCAAGCACAGGCAGACAGAATGGCAGGCAGAGGCAGAGGGAGAAGCAGGCTCCCTGATGAGCAAGGAGCCCGATGTGGGACTCGATCCCAGGATGCTGGGATCATAACCTGAGCTGAAGGCAGCTGCTTAACCAACTGAGCCACCCAGGCATCCCCAGGCATGGGAATTTCTTAAGTCTTTCTAATTCCTCTGTGTACTTGATTGGAATCAGAAAATATTGGCAGATACTTCCCAGTGAATAGGAGAAGTGTAATAACATGAAACCTACTCCCGCTTTGTTCTTCTTTTTAGAATGTAACTTTTAAAATCAGGTTTTGAAATATTTATTACTCATGACTGTGCTGAAATTTTTTAGTGGATAAATATAATAGCAACCCATGTGCACCCAGATTTTCCCTTAGTAAGTATAACTTTAAAAAAATTCTCATCTTTGTTCTTTCCAACCTTGGGCATTAATGGAGAAATTTAGGTTTTCAACCTTTTAATACATAATTATTAATTGTTTTCTATTAATATATGCAATGATTTAAAAGAAAACCTAGTGATATGACTTCATAATAGACACATAATTAGTCTTCATACCAGGCAGCACAGACCCCTACTGTTTTTATCAACAGAAAGGCTTCTTATTCAAAATCAAGGAAATGATATACGATTTGCTAGTATTCCAGACAGTTGAGTGTTGAAAACCAAAACATTTAATAGAACATTCAGGAATCAGTAAAATAGTATTAAGTAAATTAAAGAAAGTCCTTTCTAATCTGAAATATGTTCCTTCCCAACCTTGTGCATGGATCTGCATGGTGTTCAGAAACAGAGCTAGATCACTTTGATTAATTCCATTTTGCCTTGTGAAAATCTGCTGTACCATTGATTGTATAATCAGAAAGAAGAAAAATAAATCCCTTTCATTTGTATTGAGTGGGAAAAGGATTTGCTGGAAAGGGAGACCTACTGGTCAGATTTAGGTTCGATTCTGTGTCAATCATACCCAGACACTGAATGACCTTTTTGCAGATGGTAAAGAAGATGTTTCTGTGTGTGTAACAAACAGAAATCTCCTTCTCGTGCATGTGCACAAATGCATGCATGTGTGTGTGTTAATCCTGACTTGATTGAATTACAGATCAGACTAACTGAAGAAAATTCTTTTAAAAAGGGAGTTTTCATTTTATTTTTATTGTAGTGAGCAGTATTTTTAATTTTCTTGAAAGGCACCCAAGAATAATTACCTTTGTGAACCAAAAATATACAAAACTGTACAGAATAAATAGTTCATAGAAATCTAGCTATACTTTCTTGTAAAATAAAGCTACATTGTCCCACTCTTGAGGCAACTTAAACCACCTACCCTTAGACATGCCTTTTGTACTAATTTATGACAACTACCAGTTTACATTAATAAAATTTTTTAAAAACACGATTTTTCCTATTTGTTTTATACCTGTGAATTATTACTTGCCACAAGAAACATATTTCTATCATGGTCATTCAAATTTTACAAAGGATTAATGCTATGAAAGAAACCAAACTTAATTTATGCACTAATCATATTTACAGTTGAATATCAGTAGCATTTTAAAAATATCCCAAGAACAAGAATCAAAGTTTGAGCACAAATGACATACCTTAGTTCACAGCAGCATTGACAATAAGATTGTCCACACAAAAATGTGTAGAAAAACCAAAAAACTTTGCTTATTCATCACCTGAACTATTAATGACTCTTATTTTTAAATTCAGAAAGCATAGCAGTGACATTTTTCTAACCCTCAAATATTCAGTTTTGGGTCACTCATAACCTATATAATTCCACATTCTATTTTTTTCTTTACTATTACTAGTCATAATTTTAAAGTTCCAGTTCCTTTTGCCTTTATTGCAAGAAAATTAGGTGTATCTGACAATGTACATTTTTTTGTGGTATATGCTGATTATATAAATAATATATTCCTTACATATTATAATTACATATACAGGTATAACTTTTAAGTGACAAAACCAATTTTATTTCATCCACTGGTAAAGTAATTCAAGAAAATAAGGGTTGCTTAAATACTCAACCCTTTTAGATGTGCAACAGGACTTTTCTGAAACACTTTTAAGTATATGGAGAAATATTACTATAATCCTTGGATGATTTACATACAAGGATTAATTTATTAGGGGCAGGCAAAATTGCCTGAAGAAAATGCAATGGCTTCTCCCAATGATCCCTGAGTTTCTTTTTCTTCTTTTTTTCCCATAGGATTACTGCTGTGCTTTAGTTCTGATTGATGACACACACATGTAAGGCACTTATTTACAAGGATTGGACTTAAGACAGAATCACAGCATTTCTGCAAAAGCCCTCGATCTCTCCATCTATGTTTGCTGCTCCAAGACTTCTAAGTAGTCAGGTTCAGCATGTAAATTAGCTTTAAGCTCAAAATACTCATTTTTAGTCTGTTCCACTAATACCTTCCTTGGCCTTGAGTACATTAAGGTCTCCATTAACTTTAACTCTTCATGGGCTCCAGGATAATGTACTTCCATATCAGGCTGCAGTTGAGCAATGTTCTTCCTTAGGTATTCTGTGATTCCCAGCTGCTGAAGTTCTCTTTCTTTCTCTAAAATATTCCTATATAATGAACTGGTATCCTGAAAGGATAAAAATTCAGTTGATTGGTCTGTGGTTTTGTATTTCACATTTGACCCTGTGAGTGGTGAATGATTTTCCCGTTCTAAAAGACTTCTTTGAAGATGTTTTGCCTCACTTCCGTCTTTTTCATTCCTTTCTTCTTCCTCTTCCAAATGCTTTGGGCCAAAGGATGGACTTCTATAGACATGAACCATGGGACTCACCATGTGCTGCTCATAGAGAGATGCTGGTCTTTCAGCAGTGTGGTGAGTTGTTTTATGGCCATACATACTGTATTGAAGATGGACTGGACTGTTGTCTCTCATCTGTTCATCTGCTTGTTTCTTTTTGTATCTTCTCCTGCGGTGGAGAACAAGTACCACTATCCCTGCAGCGCAGAACACAATGGTTATGAACACGATCAGCAGCCCTAGTATTAGAACAGACAGCGGTACAGCATCAGTAAGTGATCTTAAAATAGTATCGGCTGTAGTTGTGGTTGTAGGGGGACTGACGATTATGTAACTAGTTTGAGTTGGCAGGGATGGGTTATTGACTAAACCTGGGCAAAGGAGTTCACTAGTTAGTGCTTTCAATTCCTTTTTGTCCAGGTGCTCTGGAGAAGTGCAGAGGATGTCATCTGTTACTGTGTTCTTACTCAGTTTTTGTAGCCACTGTTGCAATCCAACCAGGTCACAGGAGCAATCCCAGGGATTGTCCTCAAGGTCGATCTGAGTCAATAAATCAAGGTCATCCAAGATATTACTTACGGGGAGATGGGTAAACTGGTTTGCTTTAAGGTTTATCCTCGTTAGGGAAACCCCTGAAAAAATATGTGGTGGTAAAACTTGTAGGAGGTTATTATTTAAATAGAGGACTTTAAGTTTAGGCATTGGGTTAAAGGTTCCTGGCAATAGTTCCTTAACTGCATTGTATTCAAGATACAAATACTCAAGATTGTGGAGACCAAGGAACATGCCTCTACTTAATTTGGTCAGATGATTACCATTTAGATAGAGCTTTTGCAATCTTGTTAGGTTCATAAAGGATCCTTCCTCAAGAACTTCAATACGATTGTTTCCCAGGTGAAGCATTTCCAAAGTGAAGTATTCCACTAGATCAGACTTCACTAATGTATGGATAATATTCCCTGCTAGAACAAGCTTTCTAGGGTTTTGTGGAGGAGGCTTTAGATCTGATAAGCTTTCAATATTGCGCTCTTGACAGTGTATTAGAAGTCCTGATGGGGATAGTACTTTGCAGTTACAGGGAATAGGACAGTAGGGTCCTGGAAGTTGAGTGAATGGCTTTGTAATATAGGGTATCAGAACTGGTGCTTTGGTGGCTGGTTTCAAAAGGGATGTGGTCTTGGTTGACATGCGACTCTCACTTATTGAAGATGTTACTGCCAGATGTAATGATCCTGAAGGATCCTCGTGTTCTTCATACACTGGTGGAGTGGGGCAAATTGATTCCTTTTTCAGTCTGCTTAGTACACTTCCTTTGAAAAATGGAGGGCTGTTGCACACAACATCACCAATTACAGATTGCGGAGGCATGTTTTCCAACCAAGTTTTTAGCTCTAATAAGTCACAGTTACAGGCCCACTTATTGTCCTCCAACTGGAGATCCAATATCCGGCCAATGTGTTCTAAAAAACCAACATAAGGCAATGTTTGCAACTGATTTCCACGAAGATCTAGATGGGTTAAAGGAACGAACCGAAATATGTTTGGAGGAAGACTCTCAATAGCATTGTCATTTAAAATTAACACTTTAAGTCTGTGGAGCTTGCTAAAGGCACTTGGTTCAATCACTGTAATGAAATTGTTATCTGCTTGTAGGAATTCCAGGTTTTCCAATCCATGGAAGGTATCCTCTTTAAGAATTTCTAAGGAATTGTGATTGATATGAAGTTGCTTAAGAAGGCCAAGACCATTAAATGTACCAGTCTCGATATCTGCAATATTGTTAAATCCAAGGTGTATTGAGATAGCGTTGGTAAGCCCAGAAAAGTCATTCGTGTGAAGCATTGTCAAGCCATTATTTAATAAACTTAGGTGGAAAGGTCGTGATGGTGGCACACTTATTTGGGATAACTTCTCGATACCTTTTTCTTCACAGTTTATTAGCATTGCACCGTCTTTTTCCGCACAATTGCAAAGAGAGTCACAAGAACCTCTGGCTGAGGACATCGGCGATTGGGACTGTGAAGATATACAGGTGAGGAGAGATGAATATAAGAGATGAATCCACAGCTTCATGTTGTCATGTGATGAAATGTGATTCTGTAAAACAAAAGGCAACAGCAATGTACTTCAGCGGGCAGAAGTAGGGAAGAGATGAACCTGGTGATTACAAAATAATAGGGTTTCCTCTAAAAACAACAACAAAAAAATTAATTACTTGGAAAATATGAATACCTTACTACATTTGCATTTTCTCTTATTTTTTTTCTAATACTATGACAAGCATGTTTTGCTTCACTTTTAAATTGTACTGTGATAAAAATGTAAAATTTAGGTCAAGGAGAATTTAAAATATTATATCATCAATGGTGTTCACATTTTCCAAATAAACTGCATTTTCATAGATGAGAGAGTTGCTGTTTAATTGGACTATTGATACCTCGATGTGATGCAGAGGTGTATGCTTGCAAAGACCCTGATTCCTTTTTTTTCTTTTTTAACCACAAAGTTGATGACTCTAAGGTTGAAGGATTACAGTATAAAACAAATATGTGATATTAACCAGAAGCAGAGAAAAAAGTAGGGAATGCAAAAATGTTAGAAAAAGTTAGGAAAAAATGTATGTATCTATGTATGCACACATGCATACATAATGTATTTCCTTTATTTATTTATATTTTTGAACTGGATGTCACAATATACTATCTAATAATTATATCTGTGTTTTAACCTGTTTTGATTTTGGCTCTATACTTATTAATTTTATTATCTTATTTAAAAACCATGAGGAAAATAAGTCTCTGACCATGTAAGAAAGGAGATCACTATAAAAAGAATTTCATTTTAACTGTGCTGTCTAGGGCAGTTTGTAGAAGTTTGATAGTATTCGATATATATGGTTAAGAGTGCCTGTTAAAATTTCACTTGTCACACTTTCTACTGAATTTCTAAAAGTAGGATATTTCCTGCTGCTTTTAAATCCTTTTATGAATAAGGTTAATATATACCTAAAGAAGAAAAACAGCTTTAAAACACATTTCTAGCTATTATAAAAGAATAAACAATGCCTCACATAAACTTCAAGCAAATGACTTTCTAATGAGGTTTCGAAACTGGCTTTAGGGCACAGAATGTCATCATATAATTAAGCAATAGACCTCCTTTATTATTAGGCTTAAAGCCACAGTGAACTCTAAAACAAACTGCACTATACTCAAACATTTGAGGGTACTTCTAATTTGGTAAATAAAAAAAATGACAGTTCAGGATAACAACATCACATATTCCAACTCCTTAAAAATTTAAGAAATGTATCTGAAATAGCAATTCTTTAGAAAGATTCTAACTCTGAGATGACAGCATTGACAAGATAAATACATATAACTCCAATGTATTTAATTGCATTTCTTTTCTTTAGTGTAACTTAACTTTATAGAAATTAAATTGAAAGATAAATAAACACCATATCTCAAAACTCTTCAACTTTTCCAAGTGGTATCTGCTTTCATTTATTTTTTAATGGAATGTGAACAGTAACTTTGAATCTACCTGAAGTTCACAATCTGATAGATGCAACAGAACAGATAGAACATCCCAAAACCAATCAATAATTCTGGAAAAACTAATCCCATGAAAATACTTTGTTTTATTGAAAACATGTATAGCATGAAGTTTTCTGAATGGTAAAAGGCAACTAAAGAAATAAAACTGTATAGTGCCTTTCCATATAAAGGAAAAGTTAGCAGACTAAATTTTTCCACAGGGAAATTGATTTTTAAACAGCTCTGAGTCTATGTTTAGAACCCAACAGCTTGTAGTTGGAGCCCTCAACTTGTGGATTAGCTTCCACAAACACTAAAGTACTTCTTCATAGATTACTAAGAAAGAATATGATTCATTTCACCAGACACAGCATCTTGAGGAAATAGTAAATAACTTCCAGATGACAATCTCTAGTTACTGTTTTAATCTTATATTCATCTTATGTTCTTCAAAATGTCCTAGGGAACAGTTTCATATCTTTTCAGAAATGCACACAAATTTGAAGACGGGTTCCGTATGGGTAACATCTGATCCTATGTGAAAGAGGTCAAAAATCTCTGTTTACATATTTTCAGAAAATATATATTTTCCAGCCAGGAAATAAGAAAAATAGCATACAAAATACCAAGAATCTTTTAACATTCTGCTTATATTTTAAATTCAGCAATGGTGTTTGGAAGTGATCTTTCCTTCAGAAAGCACACATATATAGTTTCCAATAACAAACTGGATGCTATGCAAGAAATAGTGGCATCTTATTTTATTTGTTCCTCTGGCGAGCCAGCTGTTGGACTGTCTGCTGCTCAGAGAAAACAGGCATCTGCTACAGCATTAGTGGTGCCAATGAGTAAGAATGAAACTGGATAGCTTTTAATGCTAAGTTATTTTTTTTAAAAGGGCAAACGTACAAATTCAATCACTTTAAGACAATGCAAAGATAGGTATTAGAAAAGCCTGGAAACATTCATCTTACCTATAAAGCAGAAACTCTTCCTGACGTTATCTGCAATGCACAGCTGGAAGAGATGGTCAAAGTCAATTCACTTTCTTTATTAAAAAAGAAAAACCAGCCGCCACGTACTTTCTTCTCAAATATCACTTTTTGGCAGGTCCCATTGCTTCATAAAGTTAAAAAGCTCTGCTCAAAGACTAAATGCTGAGCAGTTCATTGAATATATTTCAGACCGAGTGCATACTAGATCATCCTGAAGCAGTTGCCTTTTCTCCCCAATTAAAATTCACGGCATACTTCACAGCTATGCTGACTTTCTTTGCATATAGTTAACCATTTGCAAGCTGCGGAATGCAGTAAATAAACAAGATGTTTCACAGAGCTGGGATTGATCACTCTTGCTTTCTTAGTTTGTAGATCCAAGCTGCAGCAGTGTTCCCTTTCCTCCCTTTCTAGTCTTTCTTGTTAGCTCAGTTTGTTATTAGTCAGATTGCCAAGGGCTGGGAGGTAGGCGTCCATAAAGAGACTTCTTGGCTTTTGACTCAGCCTTTAAGCCCTGAGCGCTTTACTCAGCCAGTGTCATTTAACACAAGAGACAGCTCCACCTTGGGACTGCTCAACTCCTCCTCTTTCTGCAAATGGCCTTTCCACTCCCTTTTGATACCAAAGAGAGTGCAAGTAAATTTCGATGGGAATAATTATGCACCGTTTTAAATGTATAATTTTTTTGTGTTGGAGAGCAAGCTAAATAATGCACTATGTTAAATTCTCCGTCGGCACAGGACTGTTTGATTTGCACACAGGCGTGCAGCAAAACTGTCAGCATGCCGCCTGTAGAGTCCTTGCTTCAGGTTTTGTTTTGCTTTGTGTTTTACCAGTATTTGTGGTTGCAATGGTGCACTAGGTTTTTGAAACGTTAACGTGAACTACTTTCCTGCCACATTTGCCTTTTCGTACGCACGATTTAAATGTCTTTTAAAGCCTCACGTCAGAGACTCCAAGTCGTACAGTTCATTATTTCTTTCCCTAGAGCTAACGTTCAGTAATGAGACCAGAAATGAGGTTCTTTTGCAAGGAAGATAATATTTATTTGGAATGGCAATATGATTACTTTAAAATATATTCAAGAATCTTTATTACAGATGTTTGTCATTAATTGAACACTGCTTAACACTCTCAAAACTCTGAAGTGATGTCTCTTCAGGTGAAATGAACCAAGTTGAATGAGTATGTAGAAATTACAATATCCTGATTTTTATGGCATTGGCTGGAGAGAGCATTTTTTTCCCCCTAAAATGTTTCTATTTAAAAAGCTACTTGTCCCTTCAACTCTCAAAAGTTTCTGAATCACCACTAATAAAACTTTCAACTGTCAAATTCCTTCTTTCTTTCCCAAAATGCTTGTTTTAAAAATCATTCCTCTTTTCATTCTAAGTACCTGAACTTTTTCATATCCAAAATGAATATACTAGAAGCTATTATTTATTCATTTTGAAATAGTCTATGCTTAGAAATACCCTTGGCTATAGGCTCTAAAGTCTACCTGTGTAATATTAGGTATTATTTCAGGGAAAAAAAAGGTAAAATCATCAAAATGGGACAATATCAGATTGACTTATCATTTAACGATTATGTGCGATTGTGCACTCAAATTCATAAAGTTTTCATATCCTTAGCATGGAATAGTTGCTTTAAAAGATGGATTTTGAAGCAGTTTTTAATATTTTCACATTCCTTTATATTATATTCTTTCACTCATTAAGTTCCTCATTTATTTTATTTATTTTTATTTTATTTTTTTTTAAAGATTTTATTTATTTATTTGTCAGAGAGAGAGAGAGCGAGCACAGGCAGACAGAGTGGCAGGCAGAGGCAGAGGGAGAAGCAGGCTCCCCACAGAACAAGGAGCCCGATGTGGGACTCGATCCCAGGACACTGGGATCATGACCTGAGCCGAAGGCAGCTGCTTAACCAACTGAGCCACCCAGGCGTCCCAAGTTCCTCATTTATTTTAATGACACCATGTTTTAAGAGGAAATAGAGATAATGATACAGATGGGGGGATTAGAAAGGGTAAGGAATGAGAGATTAGAGGAAATAAGAGAAAATCAAGGTAAGGAGTTAATCTCAGACACAATTTGCTGCTAGCTGACGGCCAGGTTGCATTACCTTAAATCAATCTAATGATTTAGGTTGGTGACAAAATTTACTTAGAATCAACGGGAAAACAAGGAAGTAGAATAATTTCCCTTCCAGCACTGTACACAAAATTCTCCAAATGTGTTCCTTTTGGTTTTGGAAGTAAAACCTCAGGAGAAATGTTCTGGAAGTCTGTGGAGGAAGAGAGGTTCAAACAGATATATAGACAAATAGAACTGAGTTCCCTATAGATGGACACAGGTTTCTTTCATTTCCTCCAATTTGAGTATGTGTCTATTTTATCCATAGTATGCACCTAGAACATATCTCAAGTTATTTATGTTGAATCCCTTGCCTATAGATGACATGTTGTCCTCATGCATAAATTACTGGTTAATTCAATGGAAAGGAAGGCTTTTTTATAATTATTATTCTTTACTTTTTCTCTAGGTTTTGGGTGGAAACTCTAAGAATGGCTAAATAAAGAATTGTCTGAGAAGCATTCCGTAACTTTTAACTGGTTCAAAGGAGTGGTATTAATAAGGAATTACTCAGCGTTATCTCAAACTCAGTAGTGAAATATCTAACAGTACACTTAAAATGATTATGGCTAAAACTACTGTTCTCTATAGTTTGTTAACTGTAATTCCTAAGTTATTTCACTAAGTCAATAATTCTGTTATTCTTTCCAAAATGCTTATGGCGGAACATGTTATTGATTGTCAAACGACATTTAAGAATATTTTTAAATTTCCAATTGTTACATGGAAAAATATTTTCCCAGTGTAGCTTTCCCCAAATTCTGATAATAAATTCATTAAGAGACCATAATAAATACTAAATTTTATTAATCTTTCCACATAATTTACCCCCAATGACTCCATATTGGAAAGTGTTAAAAAGTCATTAATTATTTTTAATCATATACTCTACCTTGCGTCTTATTGTGACTTCTACAGCTTTTGGAATGTGCGTCTTCAACAGCAAATATGAAAGTATTCTAATTACAATGAAGAATACCAAGGAGTCAGAAGACATAAAACTACCTCTGTTAGTCATTTTAGAGCAACAGCTCAGAGTACATGGTTATGATACCAGGACTGAGGAGAATGCCTTCTCTTCTCTGCTGATGTGGAGGGTTGGAGGGGGTTGGGGGTGAGTCAAGGGTGAGGAATCATTTTACATATCTAGTGGTGACAAAGACCAGATGGAAGAATGTTCTATGAAATTTGTTGGACTGATAACGCATGTGGGGTAAATAGAATGACAGGGCCAACATCAAGCACTAGAGAGGAAAGAAAAAATAATAGCAATGAAAGAGATTGATTCGTGCTCTATAAGACAAGTTCTACATCAGAGCACTTGCCCACCTTTCCCAGTGCCACATTTAAGTCATAAAATGAAAACATATGTCTGATTGTTTTTAACACAAGACTCTGGAAGCCTTGAAGAGAGGTCTTTGTACCATCTGTGGTATAGACTGAGGCATATTTACATATTCTGAAGATTGAAACTATAACCCTTAGTGATCCATTATGAATTATAATACTGTAGATGGATTTTACATACTTATTGATTATTTCATTCTTTTAAGAAATATTTAGACATTTAATAATCCTAAATTAGTGTCACTTTGAAAGTATGTATATAATTATTAAAAAAATATTCAAAACAAATTATTGGGAAATAACATTCCTGTGGGCTCTGTACTGGCAGGGAATTACATTAAAACTCATGAAAATACTATTAAAATTCAATATTACAGATATTTGCAAAAAAATCAAATGTACAGAAATGTAGAAGAATTGTGCACTAGTTTTACAAATATTAACAAGGACATGTTTCTTTTTTCTAATTTCAAGCCAAAATTTTTCTTTAAAATTGTATATACTTTTGAAATGAGTATGTTTTGAAAATGAGTATGTTTCATTATAAGACTCTAAAGGATATTCAAAAGAAATAAGAAAAGTTAAATCCACTAACAATCCCAGAGATTAAATCTAATTTAAATATTCCTTATTTTATATTCCCATCCTGTTCATTGTATACAAAAGTAATAGCTCTTATAAAATTTTACAAAATCTTTAAAGACAATAATGGGGTAAATTCTACTTAAAATATATAATTGGACTTACATAAATTCTATTCATAGAAGATGACAATCAAAGAATGATGTCTTTTATCTTTCATGATGCTATGCTATACAGTAACCTTTGAATTCGCTTCTCAAATTTTGAACATAGGGTTCTCTTTCATATTTCACTAGAAGAGAAGCCTGAAACACTTTACCACCATTACTATTTTTTGGTTCTGTTAGAGTCAGAGCATAATGATTATGAATACTTTATCTTCTGACAATAACACGCAATTTAACAAAAGGAACATGGCTTTTATATAAAGAAGAATAGAAAATTTTCTCACCTTTTAGCAATAACATCTTTGTACATGAGAAGGATATTTGCATATATTCATCATGATTAATGACTTCACTGAGGGATGCAAAATTATTTTAAGCTTTATAATCCTATAATTGTGATATTTAACCAGTTTTCCAGATATGTAAGTTTTATTTAGTTCAATGCATTATTTAAGTAACATGAATATTATGTTTTAAGATCATCTATGTGGAGAATCTCCACATAGTGGAATGAAAGTAAAATTTTACCGACCTAAGATTGATTAGTTGACACAAATTTAAGTACCAAACTTCACAATAAAGAGTCTATGTAGAGTTTACATGATAGATATAATATTTTATAAATCACACATAAATCAGTGTTTTGGAAACTTGCCCTTTGCATTGAATCTTTAATAAAGAGTTTAGTTTGTTATTTAAATCTTAAGTTTCTTTCATGCTCAATTTGATCTGACAGCAAAGTTATAAAACTAATAATGGAATTGCCTTATTCTAAGAGAGCTTTTACAATTATACTTTCTGTTTTAATTTGAAATCTGTTGACACAAAGGAACTCTCTTATACCATTATTTAACCTGGCACAACCTAAACAAAGCAAAACAAAAACTTTCTCCTGGAAACTTGGATTATAAGCTCTCTGTCTTCATATGAAGTGTATTTGTGATTTCATAAAAGTACCTACTTTAAATGGATAACTAAGAAGACTTTTAAAAATTATTAAAAAAAAACTAAAAATGTTGATGAATGCTTTACAACAAATAATGAGCAGTATGCAAGAAAACAAGGTCCAGTGTAATAATGGTAGACTGTGAGTTATTTTGATTGTAAAGACTCCCCTAGGGGAGGTTATTATCTACTTCTTATTTTTTTCTTTAATACTATAGAGTGAGTTGCATATAGGAAGCCCTCAAATAAGTAGTTATTCAAGTTGAATCATTTCTTCGTATGTTCTCACTATCTTCTAATCTTAGGATACTTACTTGTTCCTAGGAATGTATACATATTAATTTTAAAATTGTTGCCCATATAACAAAAACTTAATGCTAGAGATCAAGATTAAA